ACAGATTAATTATTTTTTATTTGTTGGCATCTAATCACACAAATGTAGAACTTTAAATGTAGACTATCGCCTGAGTTTGATCTCTATTTTATAAATTACACAATGTTCTGTTGCCGAATAGGGCATGGCATTTTTAATAGGCAATTTTTCAGAAGTGCGTATAAAACTTAGAGCCAGCATCTTTTGGTAAAAGAGCTGAGAGCTAGCCCCCCTCAGCATGTGCCCTCTGCTTTGAAGTGGACTTCTCTTAGCCTTCTGAAGATGGTAAAGTCTACTGTTGCCCGTTAACCAATTGCTGCTTTTTTACTTATTAAAATTTCATTATGGTCTATATACTAAACAGGAATATATTGCAAGTAAATTATATTCTTTTCTGTGTGCATCTTTGAAAACTTTTCATAAGTAGATCTGCAGCTCCCGTGGTGAGAACTAGACGTGGGCCTTTGGCCACTACCGAGAGAATAAGAATCGGGCCAGTGTGTCATCCCTGGGCTGGAAGAAAGAGAACTCAACGCGGCCCAAGGCCAGGGCCAGAGCCAGGGTTGCACCCGGGGAACCACTGCCCGTGAGAGCGGGCTCCTGGATAGCAGGGCCAGCTTTACGAAGACCTCTGAGCAGGAGCCCATTTCAGAGCCCAGGTGAAGCGAGATGAGGCCACGTCACCACCAGTGTGATGCAGCTGGAAGTCTTGCCTCTCCCAGCCACTGCGGACTCTAGTCTGTGAAAGGCTGGGACTTTTCAGTTTGGGAATCTCTTGAGGTTGGGATTGTTCCAGAGGTGGGGCCACATGCTTGTGACTTTGCGAGGATAAGTAGGATCACCAAGTGTGGAGAGGTTTCAGGGCCCCTCAAGTCTCTGTGTTCTCGGGCATCGGTGTCCCCCGAAGTCTCCCCCAATAACTGGGGCAGGACCTTATAATCATCTCTTAGTTCCTAATTGCTCACGATGGGCCTGTGGCAGTGGTGACCTTTATCACAAGTTTAAAAACTGTGGGAGGCTATGAAAAGTAAATGGAAATCATGTCTTAGATATAGAAATACTGCTGATTAGTAACTACCATGTGTATATGGGTGCGCACGCACATGTGCACACACACACACACATCCCTCTAGTACTGCCCGAGGAATTTTACACTCGGTTAAAATGACAACCTTAACAGAGAAGACATCTTTTGGTGAATAACTGTTCAATCAGTGGTACTAACAGTAGGTTCTCTGGGTTAAATAGAGAGCTGGAATATTCAAAAGAGACTTCATGGGGAGGTGGAGAGAATCAGCTGAATTTGTAGACTGAATAGAAACGGGGAAATCAGAGAGGATGGAGGCGTGAGAACCCCATTTGCTCAGGACCTTAGATTTCGTAGGAGAACTACTGGGAAACGAGGGTGGGAAGGTCAGGCAGAGCTGGAGAAGGATGCCAGCCAGTGTTGGCCTCCGCCCTGCCAAGCAGTAGGTACTTGGAGACTGGGCACCTGCAGCCCCACCTGGACTTAGTCCCCGGGACAGTGAAACCCAGTATCTTAGGTGCCCTGTGCTCTTATCTTGAGGTCGGGGATTGGTCCTCAGCAGGGAGTTTGAGGATGCTGTGGCACGCCAGGGAAAAGGGAGTGGGATCCCCGGAAAAAGGGAGCATGTGGTTTTAAGGTGAGTGTACTTACCACATGGATTCTTACCACCCCTGTCCCAACGGCGAGGCATATTCCCGAGTTTGTCATAGTGGGTATGAGGGAAATAGGTATCTTCTCCCTTCACATACACCCGCTCAGCAACAACCCCAACCACCAGCTTCTCATGCCCACTTCCCACACAGTCAGACAGCTGCAGGACGCAGCCGGGTCGGGGCAGCAGGTGTAAGCTCTGCTCGTGGGGCAGAAGGAGACCAGTTTGTTTAAAAATGGAACGTACACCTCTGGCCTCTGAAACAGAGCTTTTCGGCCCACCCTCCTTTGAAGTCCGAGCAAGATTCCTTCCCTAAGAGGACATTTCTTTAGCTAATAAAATACCAGTGGATGCTTCTGTGGAGACTGCTTTGTAGAGTTGGTTAAACAAGAGGAAAACATCACCAAGAAACGGTCCCACCAAGATCAATGGCTTAATAGCACACGGGCCTGGGGGTGCAGAAGCCAGAACGTCCTAGGACCTAGATCCAGATTTCATCTCTCCTGGCCAGTGGTTCCTTGCAAGGTGGCTTTAATGATTAGGAATGGTATATATGAGGCACCTGGCTCACAGACATCCAGTAAAGGGCAGACGTTATTAATAGCATCCGCATTTTACCCAGGTTACTCTCCGGGGGGAGAGGGGTGTTGCTGGGTTGTGCTGATTCTGTGAGATGGCTTGACATGAAGAAGTGGCTGCAGCGGGTGCCAGCTTCCCCAAGCAGCGTCTCTGCAGGCGGTGACCAGCGAAGCCGGCCGGCGGGGCGGCCCTGGGCACACCCGCGCTCACACGATCACTGACACGAGAGATCTTTCATTTGTGCTTTGTTGATAAAGTGGCGCTTTCTTCCATGGGGAAATCAATTTCACCGCGCAGCGGATCTCAGGAAGTGGGGCCGCACGGCTGCTTTTCTCAGAGAGAGACATTTCTGTCGTTATGAATCACGGAGATGACACAAGGTTGGTGGAGTTTGTCAAAAGGAAATAACCTGCTTACTCTCCTCCTGCCACACCTGCTGCCTTCCAGAAGCTAAGCGTGAAGAAGGGATGTTGATCTTCCAGCCTGGAGACCAGACCCTCCTCTGGTTTCAAACAAGCAGACGCATGTCCTTGGAGACCTGCCATGCCTGAATTTCCACAGTGAAAGGAATTCTTGTCGGCTGTCCGCTAGAAGGCAAAGTCACACAGCCATCGTGCCAGGAGACGCCTAAAATAGCTGAGCATGTAGTTCTGGGCGGATGCTTCCTCGTCACAAGCTTGAAGACACGTTCCTTTGGAGTTGGGTCCAATATGAAGGCCCACGGGTGCGGATGACGGGAGGTTTCTGTGCTGTGCGGGGTTTTCTGACATGTCCGGTGGAGCTCCCTGTAGGACAGTGAGACAGAATGAAAATTCACCACGAAACAGTTATGTTAGGTGAGAAGAGTATTCGTATTACTATTAACTTGTATAAAACAGTTACCTGCAGTTTCTATAAATAGTAGTCATTCCTCAGATGTTTTAAAATCGGTTTGACCACCCCTCTTTTTTTTTTTTTTTTTACATACAGCCTCCTTACAGACAAGTTTGACCGCATAAGTCCAGCCGGATGGAGTGTGGTGATGGGCAGCGGTTACGCCCAGTCCAGACTGAGAATTGTGGTCCTCTGCTGAGAACTCTAGACCAATAATCAAATAGCCTCTAGGGGGCAGCAGAACACCAACGAAAACCACTGTGCTTGGGGCTGTCAGCTTTTCTGGCTCATTTGCCCAGCCCTTCCAAGCCCATGGTGCAGCACCCAGCCTTCTCCCTTTAGCCTAGAAAAACTCATCCTGTAGGCCTTGCCAGGGTGGGGACCTTTGCTGTTAAGCTTTCCTTACCCCACTTGCCTCCACTCCAGAGACCCCCTTCTCCGATCTCTGAAACCCTCCTGGTCTACCTTATATCATATCACCCAGCTTCCGCGTTTGCTATTGTTTCACCGTGAGCTACACCTGTCCTGTTGGCAGGGCCATTGTCTTATGTCGCTGTGTTTCCCATGATACCAGGGACTGCCCTGGAGGCCTAGCTAAATATTTGACAGCAGATGGAGGATCCCTTAACCTGTAGCGAATGCTTGGTACATATTTGCTAATTGGATTGTCAAGATGGTCTTGTTTCTGCACAGGAGAAAGTATTTGCGTTGCTTCACTTATTTCTGAAATGGCTACATTCTCCCGTGCGTTCTGGTTTGTTACAGACCGGGGTGTAAAATAGAGGGTTTTCAAAATAAACCCAGAGGTGTGATGGGAAACATTACCGTTGGTGCCATAGATGCAGGTTGGCTCTGCTCCTTCCTGGCCATCTGCCTTGGGCAAGTTTGCTTCTCAGCCTCAGTTTTCTCACCCATAAAACGGGGCTATCTAAGCTGATCATGTAATTTATTATCTAAACTGGAGCATATTTGAGAGTAAAGGAGGACATTTTTAAATCATTGCGATCATACAGTCTTCTGAAATATTTTTTTATTGACTGAGGAATGGCTTTTATTTTTATACTTTGGCTTTCTTATAAAAATGTCCTATTCAAAAATGATTTTCAAAATGAAATTTGGCACAAAAATTAATATACAGACAGGACAGATTGTAAAGGGTATGTACCTAGCTCTGCAGGCCCTGCCAACCCATGGTGTGCATCTTGTCCAGCTCCAGAAGGAAATCCTGATCGGAGAACACGGGCCCGCTTCTGTGCAGCCAGACGCTGTCTCGGCAGTAGAGAACGTACCCCGGGAAGGCTGTGCATTTGGGGTGATAATTTGGCTGCCTCTGAGCACAGAGCTCTTCTCCTCACTTGTGAATTCACTCCTGCCTCCGGGCAACTTGCCTGGAAAGCTGAGGAACCGGCCTTGGCATCCCTCCTCTGCACGGGCTCCTGCCGTTTCTGCAACTGTGCTTAAGTACTGGGTTTACCATAAACTTAATAATCTGAGCTGTAAAGGACACGCCTGCCTGCCTTGAATGTTGGTGTCCCCAAGTAGCCAGAGCCTCACTCCATCCTGTGGTTGGCTTTCCAGGTTGGACACATCCCTTGTAGAAACAAAGTCCATTACTCCTCACCCGGCCTCTTGTAAGTGCCGTTTGCTATGGTAACGAGAGCTCTTTGACCGTGTGCGCATTTAACCCAGAGCCCCGCAGGGCCGAGGCCTATGTTTTTGCCAGCTCCTTGCATGATGGGAGAATTCGAGGAGTGCTCTGTGGCCTCCTGGAATAGGGGCGGGTCTGCTCACGGTGAGTGTCACCGTGTGATAGAAGAGTCAGGTCAGGGGACCGGGTGTATTGCAGGGACAGCCCTTTGCATGGCTCCTAACAGCCTCTTCTTTCTCTAGGTATGTGTACATTCCCGTGGGCGGGTCCCAGCACGGCCTGCTGGGGACACTGTTTTCCACGGCGATGACTTTTGCATTTGTGAGCTACTGGCATGGTGGGCACGACTACCTCTGGTGCTGGGCAGCGCTCAACTGGCTGGGAGTCACCGTGGAGAATGGAGTCCGGAGGCTGGTGGAGACCCCGTGCATCCAGGACAGCCTGGTGAGCAGGAGCCTGGCTGTGGCAGGGACAGCTGAGCCAGGACCAGGGTTGGGAGGGAGGGTGGTCATCAGATCCTGGGCCTCATGAGCCATGCTTGCTAGGTGGGTTCAGAGCCTCTGTGCCTCGAGGCAGGGCAATTTAGTATAAAGAGTCTAATGGTAGCTGTTTAAAAAATGTAATGTTTTAACCACAAGAGCCATACATGTTTATTATATACTAGAGGCCCAGTGCATGAAATTCATGCATGGGGGTTGCCCCTCAGCCTGGCCTGCACCCTTTCCAATCCTTTGGGATTGTTCCTAAACCAGCAGTCAGACATCCCTCTCGAAATCCAGAATCACTGGCTCCTAACCACTCACCTGCCTGCCTGCCTAATGCCCCCAACTGCCCTCCCCTGCTGGCCTGATCGCCCCTAGCTGCCTGTTGCCTGGGTCCCCACCACATGGTTTTGTCTGGAAGATGGCCCGTCAGCCTGGTCTAATTAGCATATTACCCTTTTATTAGTATAGAAAGTTAGAACACGTAGATAAGAATAGAAGAGAAAAAAGGGCTCAACAGAAAACACTGTTAATCCCCCATTCTTCCAGATATTTGCTGTGTACACACACACACACACACTGAAAACAAATGCTGTTATTCCAGAGATATGGTTGTATCAGGACCACCTTTCTATGTCATCAAATCCATTTCTAACAACCCTTTTTAATGGCTCCACCAATTTCACCATTGAATGTGCTATAATTTATTTAGTCTTCTATTATTAATAATCATATTGTTCTAATTTTTTGGCACTTATCAATTGCATTGAAGTGAATATCATAACCAGGATGATTGTTGTATGTAAAATTGCTACATTAATGGTTTTCTCACCTTTAAGGTTTGCCATGCATACTGTTTAACTCCGTGGTTCCCAACGTGGGCACATGCCCCACAGGGGGGCAATTTGATTTTTAAGGAGGGCAATTCAAGAAGGAGTTATTAACAGTGAATTTTTTGCATTTCTTATGGTTCTAGGGGCCTCATATACGATATATAAATACATATTGTGACATATTTATGCATTTCAGTTCTCTATTATATGTTTTAAAACTTTATTTGCTATATTTTCATGTCACTCCATATTATTATTTTTTTAAACAGTTTCTTAGTGATTTCTTCCTCAGTACTTCAGCTGTCCTTTCGTTCAATTATTTTTCTCTTTCATGGATGCCATGTTCTTTGGAATCTTGTTTAGACCAAGTGAATGTCCTTTTAGGCTTCCTCCATCTGCAGAGGAGTTCACTTTTTGAATAATAAGAATTACATGTCATGGGGGGGGGGGGACATCAGGATTTTCGAGATGCCTAGGTGGGGCATGGCCAAAAAAAGATTGGGAACCACTGGTTTAACTCTTCCTTGGCTGCCAAAATGTGCCGAGTTACCTCCCTACCACCAGTGTGTGAGGATGCCCTCACTGGCACAGAGCCGTACTGGTGTTTTACTCTTTGCTAATTTGATAGTTACTGTTCTAGCAGCATAAAAAAGCTAAGATTTAAGACACATTTCAACTCCAGAGGAAAATGATTTGGAAAATAAATGAAGCACTTTACTTTGCACATTTTAAGTGTTTTTAAACCATGAGTGAACGTTTTAGAATGGAAATGTGGCAGAGGATGTATTAGAAGCTTGTAGGAAATCATCGGGTCTGCATATGCAGCAATATTCTGATAACCCTGAGAAAAAGCAGCTAAGAAGAAAAATGCTGGCATTAGTGTTACAGTAGGCAACAAAACACAAGAAATTTAGTGCGCAGTGAGTAATGTGGCTAAATTCCATCCGTAGAGGCAAGTAAAGCAAATACATTAAAAAAAACCAACACTACCAAAATAGAACCCATTCGAGTGTTTTTCTATTTAGCTAGCCCTTGTACAAGTGGATAGTTATGCCAATAAAAACGGGTACAAAGTACATGGCAACACAGCTGAAGGAATTTAAATATGTTCATACATGTTTAAAGGTAAGTATTTTATTTAGTAGTATCACCCAGCAATCAGCGGAAAAGAAATGTCAGTTAATTCTAATGGAAAATGACATTTCAGTGAAAGGCATGGCTATACAACACAAAGGAAAAGCCATAAAAGGTGGCATCATAGAGGTTTCCATCTTCATCCTGAAATCGGAGAGGTCTTCCCCGAGGCCTGAAACCCAGTCACCACCTGTGAAAGCCAGAAAATTCCTTCCAGCCTCACGTTCCTTCATGGGAGGGCGAACGTTAACCTTGAACTTAATGCTCCGCAGTGCTCTGTGGACTTGGAGCTATGGCTTACGTTATGAATATATTCTAAAAACCTGACATGCTGAAGAGTAACCCAAACGGTGCCATGCAGCCCGTGGCCTGTTAATTTGGTTAAAAAAAGGAATGAAGTCAGTGAAAACGCTCACAGGAGAAGCATTCGAATGTCCGCTCTGTCCCATCATCTCTCATTCAAGGACCCTCTTGTGTTTACCAGTTTCGTCCACAGTTCAGGCACCTGTGGACAGGGTACTTTTTGAATATATACTTTTGGTGAGATGCATGCCTTTGCATATTGCAAATATGCTGTTTAGTTTGCATGCTTGTTGAGCAAGAACATATCTCGTAAAACCTATTTTTTTTTTCGGCTGTCTTATCCTGACCGCCTGGTAGTTGATGGTGGGGGTTTAGACTGGAACCTCCTTGAGTACAAGATCAGGGTCCCATCACTATTTATATCCCCAGTGGTTAGCTCGGGGTCTGTGTTAGCCACAGTGTTAAGTCAACGCACAATTAATGCTGCTACTTGTCCCCCAAGGGCTCTCCCTCATGACTCGGTATCGTATGCAGTTCAGCACAGATTCTGTTTCCTTCAGAAAAACACGGTTGGCTTTCCAAAGGTCCACCCCCCTTTTGAAGAAAATGGTTTCCCCACTTGAGTTGCCCTCTTGCCCTCTCTTTTCATGAATCCATTTCCTATTCTTTTGTCAAAAACTAAATAAAGACGTAATGCCTCTTTGGCACCTGCTTTCATCTGACTGGAGTCGCCCCAATTGACCTGGTGATGTGTTTACAATGTGAGTTCACTCCCCACGCCCCTCACACACTCTTCCCCTGGCATTCATCCCGCGCCTGTCTTTTAAATATAGACAGACATATAGCTGAATAGCAAGGATTATCATTCCTTCTTTTCCATATCTTCTTCTTCAACCTCAAAGCTCTGTCTGGGGCACACAGTATAATAGGTTTCTGTTTCTTGGTGTTGATAGAATGACAGCTGAACACTCACCCAGAGATTGGTCAGAGCTGAGTCTTGTAAACAGCAAGCCCTCTGAGGTCCTAGGAGAGCTGTTTGATCAAACTTTCTGCCATAATGGAAATGTCCATTGTATGTCGAACGCATTAGTCACTAGCCACAGTCAGCACTTGAGTAACTAATTTTTAAATCTATTTTCATTCATTTAAATCTAAGCAGCCCCCAATGTGGCTAGCAACTTCCTTTTTGAGCAGCCAAGTTCTAGAACATATTCCTTTTCTAGAAAAAATTAAAAGAAGGTAGAGTGTTTGCTATAATCTAGAATGATCTTCATTCATGTGTGGTACCTCATATATCCAACTGGTTACTGGTTCTCTCCGCTCGAATATCTCACAGCTATCTCTGACTTAGCCTGTGTAGCACTGAACTCATGTGCCCTTATCTCTCAGTATTCCACCCAGCTCCTCCCCCTCAAGTATTCTCTGTTTCTGCAAATGGCACATCCTCGGTCTAGTTATTTAGGTCCTAAACCATCAAGGTATCCTTTCTGTGCCCCTGTCCCAGTTCTTCCTGTGTGTACTTACATTCTGCTTCCTCAGTAAAGATTATTATTATTATTTGCTTGTTTTCATTTCTACTGAGTCATCCTAATACAACTGTTCTCATTTCTTACCAGGTCTACCGTGTAGCGTCTAGTTTCCCTGCTTTCACTTTTGCCTTTTTCTTATAGTTTTAAAATATATATATTTTATTGATTTTTTACTGACAGGAAGGGAGAGGGATAGAGAGTTAGAAACATCAATGTGCGAGAAACATCGATCAGCTGCCTCCTGCACACCTCCTACTGGTGATGTGACCGCAACCAAGGTACATGCCCTTGACCAGAATCGAACCTGGGACCCTTCAGTCCGCAGGAAAGCGCCCTTATAGTTTTAAAAAATATATATTTTATTGATTGTTTACTGACAGGAAGGGAGAGGGATAGAGAGTTAGAAACATCAATGTGCGAGAAACATCGATCAGCTGCCTCCTGCACACCTCCTACTGGTGATGTGACCGCAACCAAGGTACATGCCCTTGACCAGAATCGAACCTGGGACCCTTCAGTCCGCAGGAAAGCGCCCTATCCACCCAGCCAAACCGCTTAGGGCCATTTTGCCTTTTTCAATTCATTATCCTCACTGTGCTGAGTGATGCTTCTCAATAAAATCCCAACCATGTTGTTGTCCTTCTTAAAATCCTTAGTGGCGTCCCGTTTTCTTAGGACCAACTACCCAATATTTAAGATGGCCTATGTGAGGCCTTGCCTGATCTTGACCTTGCTACCTCTCCTCATCCTCTCTGCCCCTCCTCCTCACACTCTGTTCTTCCACCTGGCCATTTATGTGCCTGGCCCCTCCAGCCTCAGCTCCCACATGCAGGCTCTTCCATCTCCTGGGATGCTCTCTCTTCTTCTCCTCCACCCATATTCATCCTCCAGATTTCAGCTTGAACGATGCCTTGCATGGGTCCCCTTCACTGACCCTCCTAAGTCAATCAGGTCTCATTTAATAACTCGTGTGGGCACCTCGTATGTCTCTTCTGCTATACTTATCACAGGTGCAGTGAAATAATTTTATGGAAGAACCTGTTTAATCCTTAGCTCCATGACTGAACCGTAACCCTCATGAGATCAGAGACCTGCATTCTTGACATTTATCACATTGCCGGGCACAGAGTAGGCATGCAGTAAATATTTGTTGAATGAATGAA